CTGTTGCACATAGATAGCTTTTTTTGCTCTATCTAATGGCTTAATCAAAATTTTCATATCATGTTTGTAAGAACCGAATATTGCTAATTTACGATACTGGTTTTGCAAAAACTTGGATTTTTCAGAGGTCTCTGGAGGACTTAGCGCATGAGTTCTGAGAGAAAAAAGTATACAGATATATACAACTCGACGAGGGCTACAAAACTGTCATGCTTAAAACCTGCCTGAAGAAAGTCGTGTATAAAGTGGGAGGACCTGCGTGAAAGCACCCGATTCAAGTCAAACAGCGTCTTTTGATTCTGAGTCAGAATCAGACGATGAACAAAGCAGTTATGACGCTGATTATGGCTCAACGTTACCAGGTTCTGACAACGATGAAGATATAAGTGACTCAGAATGTTTATCAAATGTTAATAACAGTACATTTCGAGGTATGCGTATTTATGATAGTATTAAACCGTCTGTTGCTCAATCATATTTTAAAGTTACGGTTAATGGTCAGAACAAATATCTTCACAAGCAAACAGCTTGTTGGTTATGAACGCATGATAAATCATCATGGTCATCGGATTGATTGAAGCGCGTAATGAACAAATGATGCCATGTGTTTTCTTTTGTATTTCATTTAATAAATGACGATTTAGTAAATTATATCATTTTATTCCTACTATTATAATAATCACCCTCAAAATAGCTAATCCTAAAAGTAAAAATTATGATGATTTACTTTACTTGTCCCTTTTAACCATACTAAAGCAAAATAATAAAATTGAACAGAGTAATTTATTGTGAAATATGATTCAGAGAAGAAACCTACTAAATATATGTTTGAGGGTGAATTCTCGACTAAATATAGAAAAATTTCATTTTTGTGATGCACAGGAGAACTCTTTTTGGCGTTAATAATTACGAAAGCGAATCCATTTGTATGCTTCCACGTCATAATACAACGTAAAGAAGTGAGCCATTGATATGAATGGTAAAGCAATTAAAAATTTTGCATATAAGGAGTAAGAAAAGGTCAGCAACAGTAAGAAAAATACCTTAGAAAAAAAATCAAAGCATCAGAAAAATTAATTAATTAATTAATTAATTAATTTCTCTGTCCCGGTCTGTGATAGTTTCTGAATTCTCTGTCACTGTCTGTGATGACTTTCGAATTCTCTATCACGGTCTGTAATGGTTTCTAGAGACTCCATACATCATAATACAGACCGTAATAGAGAAGCTCCACAGATCACCAGTGACAGTAATAGATGAATTCCAGAAAAGAAGTTTCATCGAGTTTCACACTTTTAATCACAAAGGGATTGCGCTAACAGCTTTTTCTGATAGCTATCTTTCTTGATTGATAACACTTTGAATAATAAAATCCAACTGTAAAGGTGTCCAGAAACTACAAGGGCGCATTTTAACTATTGCTGAAGGAATCTGATCGAGTGAATGTGGCTTCATCTGTAATAATAAAACGCTGACAAGATGCATTTGAACTGCTACTAAAGTAATATTATCCATTGAGGATTTGATGGTGTTTTTTATACATTAAATTATTTCCAGCTTACTCTACGACGCGTTTTGATTGCTGTTTCTAGCGATCATATGTTATTCACATATTGCATTACTATAATAACATGCGCATAAGAATGCATGACTAAGTAGGCATATAATAGAGTGGTTTGAATTTTGAAGGATAGCGTGAAATTTATGTCATAAAACAATGGCTAATTCTAAACAAATTAGAACAAATAGATAATAATGGCATTTAGAAAAGCTACATTTAACGCATTACTGAATTTTTTGTGAATTATCAAATAATTTATGGTAGATTGATGTATGTAAGAATTCATTTAACATTGCAGCACCACAATAGTTATGACTGGTAATATGATGAGATATCGAGAATAATATTAATTATATATCGAAGATTTCATTACATCCTTATGCAGGATAATCTCTAATGATATTGAATATGTATATATGTTACATGCGAAATCGAATTTCAGGCAAAATTAAAGTTAGGAAGAATTTGTTTCTCACGAAGCGGAGTAGTCATCTTATTCCGCAATGTGGAACATTTCGGAATCAGTCCCATCAATTCCGGAATTATGTCAAACCTGAATACTGTCCGATTCCGGAATCAGTTCGTACGATTTCTGGAATGCACGGAATTCAACCCAATTCCGCAATCCCAGGTCGAAAAATTTGACTTAAGATCCTATGAAATACTTACAAGATCTTTGAATACGGGCGAAATTTAACAAGAATCTGACAAAAAATCGTAGTCTCTGAGATCTTATATCAAGTCGCACAGTCATATTCTTGAAAGATCTTATTAATGTGTAAGATCTTTCAAGAATATGACTGTGTGACTTGATATAAGATCTCAGAGACTACGATTTTTTGTCAGATTTTCGTATGATCTTGTAAGATCATACAAGATCATATTCAGATTCTGATCTTATGATAATATCAGACCGTATCTTATTACATCATTTTCCGAAAGATTTCATCAGATTCTTATTGAAAGATACACTCATAAATCTTACAAGATTCTAAGCTTAAGAGGTATACATGAGCCAATCGAGTGATTCTTGTGAGACCCTATCAGATCAAATAAGATTCCAAAGCAAAATAATCATACAGTAGTACGTAATGAAGATCTTGCCTGATCATGTATGATTATATCTGATCTGTCGTTGCGCTTTTCTTCTTCGAAATTGATTCATCGAACTCTGTATTATGAAATAATGTGAATAATAAATAGAATTATGCCTTATATATCAATTTTTGATATTATTGAAATACAGTATTGAGTTTTAGCTTCATCAATAACTGCTTTTACGACAGACCATCAACAAGGCATTGCTTTATCTCTTAAATGTAGGCATATAAGCCAGTTTTTCCTCTTCAAATATATTCAAGTAAGAAAAATATGGATGTTGCATGGCAGTCCCCCATATAATTATATTTTTTAGATTCGCCTGTAAGCTTTGCGTCCCATAAATGATTTGATTGGCGTCTCACCATATATAACAACCCAAAGAAATACTATATCACACTGATGAAATCGAGCGTAGCGAGAAACACCAGTTATAAGCATTTACTTTTCGTTTTGGTTTTGGTTTTATCAAACTCAAATTGATTGGATGAGAATTTCATAAAAGAACAAATAAACTATTATAACGCATACCCACATTCTTGTCCAATAGGATCCCAATACACATTCTGCTGCAGACCATTCCAACTCATTACTTTACCCCTCAGAATGCATTTCAAAACA